GACAAGTCTTTTTGTAATCTAAACTTCTTAAACATAACTTTCAAACAATCACTCATAACACAAGATAATTAATTGACAGATAACTAAGTTCAAAGATTCATGTTCATTTTTTATCAAAATTTGTATTTCCCTATCACTGACAATTTTTTTAAGAAATAAAATCAATCACTTTTTTTGTGATAAGCAAGCCTTATGTTCAATTACTTCAAAATTGTTGGTCAGCTTATCAATGCTAAGGAATTTAACCGATCGGAAAGTTTTTATTCATCAGTTTTTCTTTCCTTTCTTATCGACTGTAACAGTCGCGATCGATTGTATAAACAATTTATTTTTGCTAAATGATTTTTCCTTTGAATCATAGAAACAACAAGAATTTCTGATTACACATAATCCTCATACACGATATACAATGGAAACTTTACGTGTTGGATGGGAACAATTGAAAACTAATATAAAACGCGGTCAAAATGAAATTGAAAATCGTATAACAGCTAATGATTATCGTGGTGTTACGGAACAACAAATTGAGGAATGTCGTAGATGTTTTAATCATTTTGATAAACATAGAACACGTCGATTAGATCCGTTAGATTTTAGAGCTTGTCTTGTATCACTTGGCTTTACCATACCAAATAGTTCTCAAGTAAGCCAACTGCTTTTTTTCCTTTGACAAAAAAATACATCTAAAACTTAGAATATTTTTTACTCTGTATTTCGTTTTTATTTTAGTAAAACAATTTTTTAACGTTCCCTGGACTTTGACATTCATTTGTGAAAAATTTAAATAACAACGATTAAAATCAAATCAACTATGAACTTAGAAAGAATAACATTTAAACATCGAAAGTGAGGATTAGTGTAAGAATCACTCTTCCTATTACAGTTTTGTTAGGCTATGTCAAATAACAATACAAATACGAATTTTCTTCACTAAATGACTATGGATGTTGTTCATCACGAACATTAAGCGTGTGTCAGGTGATTATATGCAGTCAACAGGAATCATAGATCCAAGTTCCGGGCTGTTCAGTGCCTATCACTAAGATGTAGCTGATACTCCCTAGTGAATTCGAACCAGTGTAACTCATCCAACTGCCTAAAATCTCAAGATAGTGCACTCGATGTCGAGTCCTACAGGACATAGTCCATGTTACAACTTGCTTGATATACTTCGATCATCTCTAAGGACTAGATAAAAATAAACGGTCACTACCAAGTGATGATCAATCAACTGTAAACATTTCACTGGAGTTGGAACATAAAAGAGTCTCCGTTGAACGGTTTATTATCATATACAATCTCTTATAGAAACACTAGTTGTAAAAGTAACCTCTAAAATGATATTTTGATAAAAATCACCGGATTTTTCTACTTTAGTCAAATTATGAATTTAAGCACTTAAATGAACATATACAATTAAACCACTAACTGAATAACATTCTCTTAACACTAAATAGCTTACTACGTGATATTATTTATTAACAAGTGATCAGTTAGTTGTCCTCCATTTCCTTCTATGATCTTTCTCCTGATTTATTTCTACCTACGTTGATTGCATAATCACGCATCTAATATAAACCTGGTGATTGTTTACTATTAAATATAAACTTCACCATTAGGAAATATGGAAAATACTGCTGCTGTAAGTTTTTTATAAAATGCTGTCAATGCGATAATATACAACGCTTTCTTCGAATTATAATATGTATTGCATATACTGTAAGAAATCATATAAGAAAATACACTTAGATAATCAAAAAGTTATTTTTAATCGCCCTGCTTACACTACTACTGCTACACATCTGCTGTATCATTTTACTAAACAAATCATAATTTCTGGGTTTTTCATGTATACTTTTTTTCTAAACTTATTCAATCACACACAACGGATACATCTGTTTAAGAAATTAAGGTAAATTGTCTTAGGTGTTTCTGATAATCAACTTTCTGAATACCAATGCTATATATTTCTTAGGTAAAATCAATAAAAACCTTAGTACTATTGTCGACAGTTTTACAAAATCTTTTGAAGTGTTTAATAGAGACACAATGTGCATACATTCAAAGCTAAAGCATTTCAGTCTATAGGTGACATTTTTCACAGATTGGTTTCAGTCGGGGTACCGTCGGAAACCGAGGAGCACTGAACAGCCGTTCCCCCATAACATGGTATAACTCAACAGTGCACACCTAAAAGCTAGTTAGGTACCAAGTCAAAGGTGTTCATGTTTTGTGACAAACGCTAAACCATTAGTAATAGACTCATTAAATTCACTAAATATTTTCAAAACTGATCCGTAATAGTATAACACGAACCAAAGATTGTTCAGATCAGGCAACAGAATGAATCAGAATCAATTCCTACCTCACTAATCATTAACCAAGTGTCCTTTTGTGCTTTGCTCCTTTCCCGTCACATTTCATACGTTTTATCCCATGACTTCATTTGTTCTTTTACTAAAACGTTACTCTTCATGTCAAGTCTTCAACTTGTTAATTTGTTCATCTAGTGGCGATTTGATGTATAATAACTTGAACTGATGCAAATGCTAACCAGATACTCCGTTATTTATTATTGATTAACTAACTAATATGCATTATTTATCTTGTCTGTTGATAAGATTCAGAATATAATCTTATTCTGACAGTTATTGTTAGTGCATGTTATTAGCTGAAATTTTCTACGTACATCTAGTTGATATTCGTTTAGACTGCCAAAAATGAATGAATCAATAAATATTGCGAGTTTGCTTGAAAAACACAATCTGAATATGTTCTGATCGTTAGTTCCTCACTTTACCTGGCAACTTTCCTCATTTTATTACAGAAAATTAAGTGCATTCAATTGCCTCTCTTTTTTATTATTTAATTGGATATTAAATAAATTTCATTTATAATGTTGATTTATCATAGGGTGAAGCTGATTTCATGCGTATTATGAAAACTGTTGATCCACATTGTACTGGTTATGTGACGTTTGATGCGTTCATGCAATTTATGTCACAACAAACAATGGGAGCTGATACAGTTGAACAAATGGTCAATTCATTTAGAACTTTAGCAGGTGATACAGTAAGTTCGCCATTCTTTTTACTATCTCATTGTTGTAATATCAACGTAGATAACTTCACTTTTCTAGTAAACAAATTTATTCACACCGAATAATATTTCATATTAACAATTATCTAGACCGATTACATCATTTCTAGAAACAAGCGATCTTCTTCACTAGCTTCAACTAGAATTCGTAAAATTGTACGAACATCGGTCATTTGACAGACAAATATCTAAAGTATAATTAATTTACTTCTGTGGAAAAACTGAAGTATAGCTTTGTGGAACTTATCATATTACTATCTGAACTAAATAAAAGTTATTGACATTAAATCCTAAGTATCAAAATAATTATTAAACTATTTCACAAATCTTCATTTGAAAAATAAAACATCATTTCATGTTTTGAAGGCTGTGAAATTCATCGAATTTGCTGTTAGGCATCCCTCATTTAGCCAAAAAAGGTTTTTTTAAATTTAAAACCGATTTAAAGTTTGAAAATGTGTATGGTGATCTTAGAAAAGGAGGGAAAATCACAAAAAAGTTTACTGGACTTTCACATATTCAATAATAATCTCTTTTTATGAGAATTCAGTTATTGTTTGTTGTCGCTCTTATTGTTTGAGAATGTAAACATAACTTACTTAATTCGGAACACTTAGAAAGCAGGGTCAAACATTCTTATCCAATGTTGCTCATTACTCATCTCATTTAATTAGCAATTACAATTTATGTAAGTGATTTGTCATAGTCCCTTTATATTGAGCATTTAATAACCCTTTCCTACATATACACACAATATTTCTGCAAGTTTCTCTTTTCTTCTCATTCGTATAAAGCCATACATTACAACAGAACAATTGAAACGTGAATTGGAACCTGAACTGGCTGACTATTGTATTAATCGTATGAAAGCATACAATGGATCAGGTGTCGCAAATGGTGGCGCTTTGGATTATACCTCATTTGCAGCAAGTCTATACGGTGAATCTGAATTGTAAGAAAATTAGCTGGACCACATATTAGCACAGAGAGATATGTCATTTTTATGTTAAAACAAACATATTTTATGAGTCGGTAGAGTTTGTATTTTCATCATTCGAATATAGATAGATTTAGTTATATATAAATATAAGTATACATTTGCATAAAACACCAAAGTAGTCTAATTCTAAAACAGAAATGTGTTAGAAATCCCCTTTTTGGAGTTGTGAAATAACTTGCATGATTTTGATGAAGTTAACGTTCAGTATATGCACTCGATTTACAGAAATAAAAACCCATATCATTTTATTTGATATTTTCTTCCATTTGAAAAATATGTTGGGGTGTACATGGCGCTCAGGGTATAATGAACCAAAAATAAATTAACTAGACCCTAAATCTATTCTCTCTATGCATCTTGGTAAAAATAAAAACTATTATAGCTTCATATTTCAGAGTCAGTAAATGATCATTTGTTTAAAAAAAAACTAGCAAAATTTATAAATTTAGTCTTTTTCAAGTGTGAATACACTTTCAACATGTTTAACATGATAACGCTCATGTCTAATTTTTCTTTATAGAAAAGACAAAAATCTCGATACTTGGCTTCATAAATTCGATTCGAATGATTTCATTTAGACAACTATTTGATTTTATCAGTATGAGGTTGTGAAGATTGTTAAATTTTTGATTGAGATCATGAATCGATCGATGTTAGACCACCAATGAAAACCTGAAAGCTATTAGTTAGGATAAAACGTGTGGCTGTTCATTAGCGAATTGAAATTATCATTTTAGTTCAAATAAATTATGTAATACATATATACTGTTTTATAACTTTAAAACATGACGCTAAATATAAACTAATAACATTAGTATATAAGAAAAATATATCTCTTTTTCTTTTTTTATATATACAAGATAAAAATTATAAAAAAGGTTAATAGAAATTAAGAAAAAATTTATGTAGTCACTAATAAAGGAAATGTCCATAGTTTTAAACGATTTTCTTTTGGTAACAATGTTAGTTTGCCTTTTAAAGCTAATGGAAATTCTTCAACTGTTGGATTAGTTTCATTTTCACCTGATGATATTGTACTACTACCAGTAACTAAAACTGATGGTGTCATTAAAACAGCTTCACTATCACTTAACTCTTTCTCATCACAACTACTACTACTCTCACTATCACTGCTGTCTAATGCTGATTGATTAGATGAAATATTTTTATCGGAGAGGGGTTGTTGAACTTCTAATGTTGTTTCTGTTGTACGTTGCTTTTTACATACATTCTTTAAATTTGGTTGTTTAATTCTACGTTGGCCTGAGGAAGTAGCTATAATAGGAAGGCTAGGATGTACACTGACACCATTTGTACTGTCAGAATGTGCTCGCCAATTTGAAGAATAGGTAGGTCCATTTTCAGAAAATTGATCAATACATTGAGGTAAATCGTATGCACAAACAACACCAGTTTGACTGCCAGTAAATAGATAACGACCAGTGCTAGAAATAAAGGGAAATAAATTGCAGATGAAAGATGACATCTATTGAATCATGAATGTAAACAGTTTATATTATCGTTAAAACGCTAATAATAATTTAATGTACTAAACAGAAAAATATTTCTTCCTATTTTAACATGGACTACGTTTAGTTTTTTTATAAGCAAGTGAGTATTATTAAATACCGTAGATCCCAATACATACATGTATTCACTTTGGCAGTTACGGAGAGCACACCTATTTCGGTAACTGTCACAGTGGACTGTTATCTCCTTAAAAACAAGTAATTTGACCGCCTGAAACTGAAAACGTGAGAGAATTCGCACTCAAATTTGATATTCAGCATTAATGAAGAGGCTACAGATTTTAGACTGGAATCGGTATCTTAGATACAGTAGTAATTCCTTAACAGATAAAAATCGCTAGCTTAACTCAATATGATCATCACTTCGTAAAAAACTTAGAATATATAAATTTATATGTCTTCACTTCAAATATTACACAAAAAGAGAGTTGTAAGCTATCAGAACGATTTAAAATCGAAATAACTAAAAACTAATTTTGTGATAAAAATACCCAAGTGACAGTGTTTTATAAGTAATCACTGAAGCCTATCTCCGCTATATCGAATGAACGGCACTTAAAGTGACATGAATCAAACTTTTGTAATAAACGCGTGCTCTTATATTAAGGATAGTTTATTATTTTTTTACCTGCATAACAGATAATAAGTAGGCATTAAAAATTAGGCCAGTAGTGATGATACAATTATCTATTATCACAGAATGATCAAATATTTTAGCCAGAATAACAGTTCTGATAACATTTACCCGACAAAAAACAGCAAAAGAATGGAATGTGGGAATCTCAACAAAAAACATGAGAAAAAGCATAGTAGACTTACGGTTCTACATCAAACTGAAATTTCTGATGATTCTCAATACGTCGATGAAGTATTGTGATTGGATTTACTAGATTTCTTGCGTCCCAAACAAATATACGCGAATCCATTCGACCACCAACAAGAACATACCATGGTGCACCATTTTTTCCTGCAAATGTTTTTGTCAACATCACTTGGGTAACTCCATATTGATGACTAAATAAACGTGTTATCAGATTACCGGGTTCAGAAAATATACATACAGTCCCGTTATAGGAACCGGTAGCGTAGATATTTCTACTAGGATCATTCAAAACACCAATACATGATATTATACCACCTTGGAGTGGTTTTTCTATTCAATATTAAAAAAAGTTGTAGTCACTTAGAATAAGATTAAGGTGAAGATTAAAATTTAACTAATAATAAAATAAGGTAACAAATATTCAGTAAACGCTTGATCTGTTAGGTATATTTTTGAATTAATACTGATTAAGGGAGTAACACTCAACAGATGCACTATATACCACTCAGCGAACGCTACACATGTCATTATCAAAAGAATAACAATGACGATCTCTATGTAAAGGTAATTCACAAGATATCAGTTTGAAAACTTTATTAAAAAAGTATTTTGTTTGTTTGAATTTAAACTTACAACGACAAAGTAATATTTATGTTCCTATTCAAATATTAAGATAGTCTGCTGAAAATTAACTACACAGGTAGATTGTGTTGGAATTTTTCACATTTTAAAATTGCTTACAACCTATATTCAATAATAAAAAGCTGACTTTTTCAGTGTTCTGAATTATATTTATAAGGTGCTTAGTTTTGTAAGAAGAAAAATTAGTGTTGCATAGATGTTCATTATGAGCATTATTTTTCATCAGTGTGCTACTTGAGTCTCAACTAGTTTAATCTCATGCACTCAAGTTACAAATAAACAGTCAGTCAGTCAGCTACAACGTAGGACCAGGCACATATATGCATCGGTCCAAGTTGCCATACCTCGTTAGCACAACAAGATCAACACCGGATTCATAGTAGTTAATTTAGTGGTGGTAGTAAATAAATTATAGGTTGTTTATAAGGATATAGTACAGGAAGGAAGAAAGTTATAAAGCAATTTTAATCTCAAGGTTTAAGGGAAGATAAAGAGTGTGTACACCTACGCCATTGTGATCGATTCTGAGCCATGTCACCTAGAGTCTCCAACTATTGGCTACGATAGTCACGCGGACACCAACCAAGTAGTCTGCATCTACCAACGTGGCTCAGGCTAGAAGTTAGTGACTTCATCCTCTGATGCCACGTTTTGGTTTGGCCGCCCCTAACTCTCTTCCAACCGTCCCCAATACTAGTCAGCATAGCGCGTCGTGGTAATCGGTGTTCAGGCATGCGTAACACGGCCCAACCATCTCAGTCGATGAAGATTCATGACCTCATCAACTGATTTACCATCATTTCCTAATACCCTGTGTCTAACCTCGCTATTACTTACCCGGTTATCCCAGCAAATAAACAGTGGTTAAAATGATTTGAAATATTTAGTGAGAAACTCCTGACGATATATATTACCTAGTGCTATATTCTTTTAAACAAGGCTAAAATCTATTTATTCCTTACTTCCAAGTTTTGGTCGCCTAACTGATTCTGACCCTGGACGAGAAACATCAAACACTTGAATGTATCGGTGAAATCCAGCGTACAAACGTTGACCGTTCGAAGAAAATGATAAGCTGGAAGCGGAAACAACTTCACCCTACGGAGTAAAAAAATAAACATTAGAAATTTTATTAAACTATGAACGTCTGGGTCAAAGTAGTTTCAATCAGCTTATAGTCCTAAACATTTGTAAAATGCTTAAAATGCATGGGTAGAATTAATACCAGCTTGTTGTCACCGAAATAAAAGAAAAGAAAACCTACCGTTTGTATGTTTACTTGGCAGATAATTTCCTGTTTATTCATTTAAGAGCAACTACTGATAAATATTAGGAATACTTTGTCCCATTATTTTCATTTAGTTTTATATTTACTGATGAATGTTGATATCAGCAAGATACAAAAGAATAATTCAGAAATGGTTTAACCTTAAACATTTAGGAGTAGAACGTTAACAAAATCTGTTAGTCTTCGTAACGGACAAATTTTCGTTAAGAGTAAAGAAACATCAATCAGAAATTATTATCAACTCATGCTATTTAAAGAACCGACAGTAAACTCTCCACAAAGGAATGACTATAGTCTACAACAACTGAATGATTATAAGCATAAATTGTTAGATATAAATGCTATGAGAATTGTTACGGTTATTCAGCTATTGATAGCGTTAAAGCACCACTAGCAGATAGACAAAACACTGAGTACAAAATATTGAGGTGAAGTGTAGTGCTAAGAAAATAAGTCAAGTGAACCGTAAACTATCAAGACTCATCAGTCCATGTGTTAAAAATTGCGCATCATAGTCTGCCGTTAAGCTTGATCATAACAAGAATGAGAGGGATAAATTATACTTGAGAGAAATATCATAATACTAATAGGTTAAAAAGTCACTAAATACCAAGATTTTGTTGTTTTCCTCTCTATACATTCTAAAGGACTGTAATGATTTTGTGAAGTGAAACACTTTTATTAAATTCTGCGATGTTTAATTTATTTACATATGGTTGACATCGACAAAGGACTCCACTATTCTTAAGTTAATTGACTTTTAAAACTTTTATCCCGAAATAAAAGTTTTAATGTTGATTGAAAACATCCGAGCGATTTTCGTTTGTAGTTAAACGTAACTAGAACTTTAACTACATGAATAATCTGTGGATTATTGGAACTTGAAAATTAATAACTTGAATAAATTTTATGGGAGTCAACTACCTCGTAACATCCACTCAAACACTGAAAAACTAAACACCAAAATGTATCGGTAGTAACGCCTTTGCAAGTATAGGGTTTTAGAGACTGTTGAATTTCATAGAAAATATGAACCGATCTAAGTTAGTCAATCGTTGAAAACTGGGAGCACTGGACGGTTGTTGTGTCTTAGTATGTGACTCAGTGGTGCGCAGCCACGACAGTGCACGCGGGAATCGAATCTAAAACAATAGGTCTTGTAAGGACGCTTAAACTCTAGACCACAGACTCGGGATCCAACGAAGGCTACAAAGTTGAATGATGTGGAGTTATGGATTCCCGAAGAAGCATGAGATTTTTTCTTAAAGATTATTTAACAAAAAGACAGTACTCAGGCCGAAGATTCTGACTAGTGGTCTGTAAACTTATGCTTTAGTTTGTTTTCAAACAGAAACAAAATCAGACTGAATTAAAACTTCTTTTAAAGAGATAAAATGAAAACAGGACTTTGAACAAATTCATTTTACTTCTAAGTCAATTTTTTAATAATTTAAACGCATTATCAGTGAACGATTAATGATTTCACATAAACACATTCATCATATTAAACTTACCAAATGATTAATGGGAATATAAGTTGCCCTTATCACTCCAGTGAATGCATCCCACAGTCGAATAGGATTTCGGCGACTACTACTAGCTAAACTTTAATTATAGTTTATACATTTTAAAAAGAAATGATAATAATCAATGTTAAACCGATAAAATCCAACATTCATTTTTATCAAATAAAAACAGATATAAAAATTAAAATAACAACAAAGGAAACCTTCATTTTTATGATAGAAAATTTACAAAACTGAGCAATACCTTAATAGTTAAGTGTCATCTGACTTTCAATCATAAAGCCCCAAGCGAATGTCCAGCGCTTTAACCGGGTCGGTGGACATGGAAAGTCCGCCTAGGGGAGTTGGAAAACCCTGGTTCCAAAGCAAAAGTGCACATGGGCTCCAATATCCTGAGGGAACAAATGGCGTATGAACCAATTGTTGGTCACCGGCTACCATGGGACTGCATCTCCTCACGATGCTCCACTGCCTTGTGGATCAGATCTTTCGGTCAAAGGCTCCGGGTGTGGGCCCCTAAGAAAACCACCTGCTTCAGTTCGGGCACCTGGGCAGTATCACAGCCCTCAAGCAAATCGAATGAGATTTGTATGGCGCATATGTATCTGGTGCTTTTTTGTACCAATATTTATGTGTTTAAATAAATAAATAAGTTCAAACCCCGTTCTGTCTACTTCTATTTGAATAATTGAGTAGTATCATTATCCATCATACTTAAAGTGTGACTAAAAGCAAAGTATGCAAACCTGTACCTAATAAATGAGTTAATAATCATAACATATGACCAAGTAGATAATATACGATCTAAACAATCTTATTTATCATTCGTCAGATTAATTATTCTTGTTAAAAGTGATCATTAAACCTAAGTGGAAATTTAAACAAAAAATGTCTAATTAAATAGACGCAACATGTACATATGACTGTACTTTTTATTACATTAGTAAGTAAGTTATCTCACATATCAATAATAAATCAAATAACATATCGTATTATTTTGTAAAACAAAAATTTATGAATGATTGACTGGGGGTATAATCTGCATCCCACTGTTAGACAAATAAGGAATAAACTAAAGAAAGATAAATCTAGATGATGAAACAGTTATCTGAAGTCCGCTCTGTCTTTCAATAGTTCCCTAGTATTGTATTTGGTACGGATTTCGTATATACATAATATATGTATCGTATGATTAAGAACAGTTAGTTTATTGAGAATACATAACTTGGGTTCCTCATATTTAATTTTGAAAATACGAAATTCACATAGGAGTTCTCCAGTCAGTCAGATACAACGTAGGACCAGGCACATATATGCATCGGTCCAAGTTGCCATACCTCGTTAGCACAACAAGATCAACACCGGATTCATAGTAGTTAATTTAGTGGTGGTAGTAAATAAATTATAGGTTGTTTATAAGGATATAGTACAGGAAGGAAGAAAGTTATAAAGCAATTTTAATCTCAAGGTTTAAGGGAAGATAAAGAGTGTGTACACCTACGCCATTGTGATCGATTCTGAGCCATGTCACCTAGAGTCTCCAACTATTGGCTACGATAGTCACGCGGACACCAACCAAGTAGTCTGCATCTACCAACGTGGCTCAGGCTAGAAGTTAGTGACTTCATCCTCTGATGCCACGTTTTGGTTTGGCCGCCCCTAACTCTCTTCCAACCGTCCCCAATACTAATCAGCATAGCGCGTCGTGGTAATCGGTGTTCAGGCATGCGTAACACGTGGCCCAACCATCTCAGTCGATGAAGATTCATAACCTCATCAACTGATTTACCAACATTCCTTAATATCCTGTGTCTAACCACACTATTACTTACCTGGTGATCCCAGCAGATGCTAGCAATATTTATGAGACATTTGTGATGAAATACTAGTAACTTACGAGTATCTTCTACTCTTACTGGCCACGTTTCGCAGCCGTGAAGTAGAACAGAGCGATCTGTCACGCAATATATTCGCCCCTTAATTGATAGACGGATATCTCGCTTTCGCCATGGGTGACGTAATTTGACAAAAGCCAAACGAGCTTTTAGAATCCGTACAAAGATTTCGTCAGGCACCAACCCATTAGGGCTGATCAGACTTCCAAGATAAGTGAAGTTGTCGATGCGTTCTCCACTTAATCAATATATCAAGGTTTACAATCATATTTACAAGGCATTATTTCAGGTCTTTTAAGAGGAAGCTCATATAATAAGTGCCAATCAAACAATTATAAAAATTGGTTATTACATGTTATGAAATGTGTGTGTTATTACGATATTACTTATAAGTAACTGATTTTTATTGTACAACTTTCTTGCATTTCATTAGTTAACCTTAGACTGACAGTTCCATTAGTTAGTATATCTTTTTATCAGTCCGCGATATTGAACTGGTCATTTTTGTCCATATCTGAGCTGAAACGTGATAGCTTTTGTCGACTTTGTCATTGTAAATTCAACCTAAGCTAACTATTATTTAATTTAAAACCATTTATTTATATATATTTATATATAAACATTCCGAGAACCTAAGACAGTCTTCTGACTTCAATCGACCTCAGGAGAGTTATTCCGGTGAATCTGACACTATAGCTATCTTTTCTCATACAAGTCATATCCTGAATCATGGTTTAACAACCTTTTTTGAAGATTTATTATTGAATTTCGTACTATTTTACATCAACCTGAATGAAGAATACTTATAATATCCGGTGTTTGTCACTATTCTGTATGTTAGCATATCTTTGCTGTGAAACCCAGTATCATAACACATTAAACTTAAACACTTCTTCAAGATAGGGAGAATTAAATCAGATAAACAAGAAGGAAGAAACATTAACTTATTTATCTAATACCTAAATCAAGTGATGTAAACCCTATTGTAACCCATGGTTGGAGACTGTGTAACATGGCTCAGAATCGATCACAATGGCGTAAATGTATACACTCTCTGTCTTCCCGTAAACTATGAGATTAAAAGTGTTTCATACCTTTCTTTCTTCCTGTACTAATTCCATTTATACAATCTTTCTTTTATATATTACCACCATTAAATTAACTACCATGAATTTGGTGTTAATATTGTTGTGCCAATGAGGTATGGCAACTTGGACCGATGTATATATGTGCCTAGCCCTACGTTGTAGTTGACTGACTGACGTAAAACATCATTGGATATTTATTTTTACAGTAGAAAATAACTGAAAGGTGATGAAAGCATAAATCTTGTTCGAAGTATCAATCTTTGACTCCCAATTAATGTTAGCTGAACAAAATTACGAATAAAACTTTGCATAATTCATACATGAAACAGATAAGTGATATTAAGAACGATCGAGAAAGCTTACCAACAACTAATTGGATCAGCAGAGCACATTAATGGATACCAACAGTAGTCATAGATCAATTCTTTTTCACGCATCACGAGAACAGATTTCTGAAAACAATAACATTACTAAGTTTTTACCTGAATTGATTTTTTACATCAAACCACACATACGATAATATCAGTCCAATTTGTTTCACTTTCACAGTGAAATTATATCAATATATATTTTTTCAGTGTTTAAACAAGAAAAAAAATGATTGCAACTGATTTCCAGTTCGGCAACATAAATCCTCTGACAGTGTTTTATTATTTCGATAAATTCACTAAAAACTGGTTCTCTACACGTCTCATACTTAAAAACTCCTATCCTTGTTAGTAATATATATTAGGATAGACAGTGGTTAAACAAACCCCCCAACCAATGAAGACATACTACCCAAACAATTGAATTGTCTTTTTTCTTCACGTCTTTACATCAAAACTTGAAATAGATGATTAATTATCATATCAACAGCACAGATAATTTAAGAAGAGTCGTAAATGAAAACCTGGACCCTTTTTATTTTGTCTATATTTATAGTCTGATGTAGTTTAGTATCCCCCACTCAGACAGATTGATGCGAAGTGCTAAACTTTGTTCCTATTCAGTGTAGACAACTAGTATGGAACCATTTGGATGAAGTATAGTGTATGACATGTAGGTCACATTTTCAGGTGATCATACCAACTACAATATGTTTCTGTCAGTATCTAATATCAACTCTACTTGAGAAGTAGTGTAAATCATGAACAGTAACTAAGGCATAAAAAGTGGCAGAGAATGAAGTACAATTCAATAATAATAACAATAGTAATAATAATCAAGAAAGTTTGTGTACTAAGCTATAAACGTAACCTTGCGTGTAAAAAATACATAGTGAATTCAGAATAGGCAAGGTAACAGGTTTGAGTTACCATTTGGACCAGTCATCATCCTCAATGCTTTTGCTCAATTTTAATAACTAATCTTACGTTAAAATCTGACAAGTATTTTTTGAGATGAGAATATATTTGAAAGCTCAGTAACATTTAGAATTTTCCGACGCTTGAACTTACAACCCGATAAATAAGTTATAATCGGTATTTTACCGATTTCGCACTGCACAAAAATTAGTTCATAATGAAGAATAAAACTCTGTAAATATACAAAAATGCTTTATAAATGACTGGCGAATCTCCTTTAAATTAGTATGTCAACAAAACATTGCAGTTGTAATCTTAGGATGAACAATATATACTTGTGAACGGTTGCGCAAGTTACGTTTTTTATACTACGTACAATAAGTGCATTCTATTTCTATGACAATAAAATCAGTGAGCTAAGATTATTGAACATCATGATTGAAAAATAATACAAGTAGAAATCAGAAACAAGAGTATGAGCTTGATTGTCGGCAGTATTCATTCAGTATAAAAGCAACCAATGCTGCCAAAATATTCAAGTTTGATTACATCAAATAAGTCTATTATAGTTAAAAGTTAAATGTCAAAACCATTGAGCCTTAATAAGAACCAAAAACAACAAAACGTTAATTAATTATTATTTATTATTTATTTAAACACACAAATATTGGTACAAAAAAGCACCAGATACATATGCGCCATACAAATCTCATTCGATTTGCTTGAGGGCTGTGATACTGCCCAGGTGCCCGAACTGAAGCAGGTGGTTTTCTTAGGGGCCCACACCCGGAGCCTTTGACCTTAAGGTCTAACCCACAAGGCAGTGAAGCATCGTGAGGAGATGCAGTCCCATGGTAGCCGGTGACCAACAATTGGTTCATACGCCATTTGTTCCCTCAGGATATTGGAGCCCATGTGCACTTTTGCTTTGGAACCAGGGTTTTCCAACTCCCCTAGGCGGACTTTCCATGTCCACCGACCCGGTTAAAGCGCCGGACATTCGCTTTTCGTCCTCTCAATTTCGTAAACAACACCCCCGCCACGAGAAGGCAGTGAGTAGGACTTCCCTGGCAGAGGCTATATATTAGCTGGCCATGTGAGAGCATTTCGAGAGGGAGAGCGGAATCTCCCCACTCTCGGCCGTACCAGGGCATTTGGGGGCAATTTATCCCGCACCCTGGCCTCCAAGTAGCTAGATTACAGGCGCACGCCACCACGCCCAGCCAATAAGTGGAATGTCGCTGCCAGGATTAATTACTTTATTAGACACTTAATTTGAAAATTTCAGTGACTAAACATCAAACCAAAATTAAGTGTATTAAAAACAATAAACAAATAAAACATACCATTTCTTCTGGTTCAGAATAGGAGAGTTCTGAACTGTTATTTTCCAAAACTGAGGAGGGGAGATTGAAAAGACGAAGAATATTATCGTGACTGTTTGTCAGAATACAAGAACCATCTGGAGACCTAAAAAATTTTAATAATTAACAATTTCATATACTATTATTTACATTGTGAATGAGTAACAATGACAGACTGTCAACATATTGACAAGGTAGTAGGAAGTCGGTGAAAACGTTATGACTTTTATGCTTTTATTAGGCTTCACGGGTACGCTCATACCAACACGCTTATAATCAGAATCAAACCTTTAGAAAGATGTTATCTTTTGGAACGGATGAGATCAACTTTTAAATGTGATTTTTAAACTTAAAGTTACTAATATTTGACCACAGATTTATTAAAAGCATAGTAGAACAGTCGGATGAACAGTCCCAATTTAGTTTTAGAGTACAATAAAGATGGGAAAATCAATTTCTTAGACTGTGAATATCGATCGAAGTGGATAGGACATGCGTTATATACGTTCAGTCACCGACTACCGGAAAGCTAGTTAGTGGAGTAGGTTGGAATAAAACCAGGGGTCCCTAAACCAAAACGTAGCATTATTTCGCAAATTTAGTGAATGATGCGAGCCGTATTGGTAGACGAAGACTATATGACCCGGAACAGCACAACAACAGGCATCGATAGTTAAAAATGTTGGGTAACTTGACCCTGAATTGATCACAAGAGCGCGCATGTACTCATCATCTTCCCCAGGATCGCGATTTCAAATGTTAGTTCCTACTACTTACTGCCTTATTTCATACCTTTTAGTCGAACCATACTCTCGACGTTCATAATTTGTAACATCACCGATAACCCTACTGTTAAGAGTCCTTTGATATTCATCTCATTGGTTCCGTCTGTGCTGATTTGACACTTGCGTCGGTGCACACCTTTACCAAATCTTGAGTTCATATTTCAATAAATAAGTCTTAATCTTTGGACGAAGCATAAATCTCCAACCCGCAGCTTGATTGCCTTAGAAAAATCCCTTGTTAAAAATATTGAAGTTAACCACATGTTCCTTCTGGAAAACTACGTATGTTACCTAAAAAAAAAACATTCTGTACGCATTTAAAATACTAAAAACCATCAGAAATATGTAAGTTTACACTAAGTGTCACATAATTTAACATTCGACTAACCCGAAACTTTTGTAAATCAATGACCCGATGTTGAACCATGATTTAAACAGTCGAAAAACGTCACTATTCATTTGTGATAAGAATTACTTAGCAGAAAGAACCGTCGAGAAGGAGTTACAGTAGCGTTAAAATCCGGGCTTACACGATCGTATGCAACTATTTATTAGGATATTTCAGCAATATGCCGAGTACACTTAATTAAAGAAGATTACCACATTAGAACACGAAACAAACTATGCCCAGAATAAACGTAAGGACACAATTACTGATAATGACGCTAATTTTCAGCCATCCCACTACATTGAATTATCAAAGCAATCTATGAGACCACATAAGTTCCCTTACTCTGTTTAACGAGGAAATGTGGTAAACAGTTAAAACACTGCTAAGAAACAGAGAAGTTTCTAGATGAACCTCAAAAATTAATCTGTAGACTTAAACAAGATATGACGGTAGTACAGAGAATAACACTTCACACTAGATTTCTATCTTGGCATAGTCTGTAACTGTAGCACTAAATAGCACTGAACACTAAGTCACCTTCTATAAACTTAATTTGATGCCCTTAAAAATTATTGTTACTGTCAACTCATTTAATTATGTATGTCTTCGGGACTTCCCGAATTTGATCTTGCGTAATAGCTTAGGGAAACATCACATTTTCTTTCTTTAAGTCTTCATCTTAACTAATTTGGTAAGTTCAAGAGAAACCAATCAAAATAGCGATTAAAAAGTGACAGTTTCAGATAGTGAGATTGAGTTATATAAATGACCAACATTTCGATTAAACTGTTCTAAAAATTAACATATGAAGGAAAAATCAAGATGTAGGCTTTGAATGAAAAGATTATCCAATAGCACATGCACTCTCATTGTATAGGAAGTAGTCTCAACAGCTCTGATGTAATATAAAACTTATTTTCACAAGTAAAAAGAATTTTTCTGACAATAAACTAGAATGCTCAAAGAGTAGATAATTTTAAAAATATTAAGAATTTCAAGCATACCATGAACAACCTCGAAGGTAATTATTAAGTAAAGTCAATTTTCCCGACAGTTGAAACTCAGAATCAGCATAGGCAATCACTTTTGGAGACGAATACATCCAGTTTACTTTTTCACGTTCAAGAACCATAATATTTTCTGATTCTTCAGCCTGTACATTAGTGCATTCATTCATTTCAAAACTATCCTGTTTATTTTTTGAATCACTCTGATTAGTCATGGTTCCGAAAAATAATTCTTTTTCTGATTCTGCACCAGTTTGAAAAGAGTTATTAACCTTGGCAGAGTTTTGATTGTCTAGTAAATTTGTACAAAACTCGGGTGACAAGAAGCTAGAATCCTTTGGCTCAGTGTTACTTATAACTGAAGCATCAGTAGGATCTCTATAACCACCAGTGTTTTCTGTAATATCTCCGGTTGGTTCAGGAGACTTGAGTTTTGAAAACAAAGAATTAGTGCATTGAAAAGCTTCTTCCAATGATAAACCATTACTTAGTACGATAGTGTTTGTAAATTCACAATCTGTATCATTCTTAGTGCATTCTTTTATTATCAGTTTATTTTCTACGGGCGGATTCATAATTTCTGTCTAGCGAAAAGAACTGAATCCAGGTTAGATAGTTTAATTATACTAGAAAAAGAAAGAATCTTGCATGAGAACAATTCACTCCTAAATAAACGTTAAATTTTATTTAAAATGTAAAACTCCTCAAGGTAGTAGGTAGTTACTATATTCGGAACAATTTACAAGTAATAGACAAAAACGTTGATGAATTAAGAAAACAGTTTAGTTAGTCAAGTTTAGTACTGAATGAAACACCGCAAGAGCAACTTTTGTCAACTTGTGGATTGTCAACAATACAGAAACCAGATCGAATCAATTCATCTTCATAATCGATTGTTGAACCCTTGATAAATTCGAGCGAGACATCGTCAACAACTACAACGACGCCATCTTGTTTGACTACTCTTAAATCCAATCAGATAAGCCTTCTAGAATTATAAAACATACTTGTCGGTTTCTTGAATTTTATCTACAAGTTGGAATTTATACTGGAATCCCGAACATCCTCCACTATCCACTAGGATTCTCATAAGAAATCCCTTTGCTTCGATTTGTTTTAGTCGCTGACGACAGAATGGTGGGTAACTAAATGAATATTTGGGCTGTTACTTACCTGTATAGAATTTTCAGTTAAAAATAATAGATGCTTAGTAGAGCACTTGCGGACTGGAAGCGGTAGCTGGCAGAAAGGTTTCCATGATAAGGTTTGTACATTCCTCAGTATTGAAGGTTGCATGGATTAGCTTACTGACTACGACAAAATTTATTTGAATGCATAAATGTATCGACTAGTTTCAATAACAAAAGTCAAACAAATAGGCCGACGATGGCAATATTTTCATAATATGTTTTACAAAACAAATAGACATTATAAGTCGTTTATATAGTAGAAGAATTCAAATAAACAACTAGGAAAGGAAATATTTCTTACATTATTTGCGAAAACCCACTTATCTGTTATTCCGTCTGACTACAGAGAGAGAGCGCGCGTACTAGATTTTAGAACAAAGCAACGGACGTAAATAAAAATTTCAAATCCGAGTGTGAAAACAAGTCGTAACTGTACTGAGAGCTGATAATACTTATCTTAAGAAACATCTTTGGTTGAGATACACTTACAACACGTTGCTTATTGTCTGGGTCGCACTATTAAACAAACTAGTAGCAGCTTTATCTAAAATAGAATAAATGAGAAACTACAAAAAAACTCATACTACGGCAGTCTAAATTAACAGTAGTGAGAACAACTAGCATCATGAAAAAGTAGTGACAAGGATTAGACAGACTGCATGTCACTTGAGGAAGGAGTTAAAAAGTGAGGTTTCTTTAATTAGTTTATATAACACCTCGGTCTAACTGCACATCAGAACATACGAGTAAACTGTCAACTGAAGTAAATTACCAACATACAAACCAGCTTTTGGACAATTGTAGTACTCAGGCAAGTTTTTCTCTATAGTAAAAGTTTATGCTTTTTGATACCAAACAATACAACTTTTGGGACCGTTTAATTAACGGTTCAAGCCAGTTATGATTTGTTATTTACATAAGTGACCCAAAGAATATTATGCAGAAACTAAAGAGCAATTCAAAAGCTTATAATGAGTAAGCATGAGTTTTCCTTTTCAAAATGATCGACAACTATCGAGGAATAGTCATTTGCCATGTAACACGATCATAACAACATTCGGGAATATAATCCCAAGAGTCCAGATACACACTACGAGATCAAACAATATATATGTACTTCTTATACCATTAAAAAGAATTTGTGTGACTATTTACAGAACTATAACTTTTTGCTAAGTGAAGGGGCTTACGCAAACAAATATAGCAAAGTTGCGTTCATAATCAGTTATTCAAGAGCTCAAATCAGTTTTATGATATCACGTCAATGTTTGTCTCAGGAAATCTCCCAAGAATTAAAACTTGTATTCCTAAAAAGAAATACTGGTGTACCTACAGTATATATAGAGTATATATACAGTATATAGAAAAACCAGATTCAGAATGGCACCCCTTGATTTTAATGTGAAATGAATCCATCCATGTGCCGATCAGACATTTCTGAATTATAAACGATGTTAGTTTACGATGATAATCAGCCCCGATTTCTTACCCGGATTACTAACCCTAACCCTTAAACATAACCAGTAAGACTGTTCTCAAACGTCTCCCGACAAGGTCACTTTTAAAATAACTCAAGGTCGTGTTTGTTGTGGCACAGGTAGTAAAACAACGGCATGATTATTAAACCCTTGAATGCGAGCTGTCATAGTGTACACTATTGACTGTCAGAATTAACTACCTAGAAGTTCTTTGAACCGTCAGACTGATACATTTTGTCTACAGGTCAGATTATTTCATTCATACACTTATATCTGCCATGGCTGACACTTGTATCTGGTGTTTTCTTGGAAAAATAGACCTTATACTAGCCAAATACGTCAAGGCTATAGTTTATAGGCAAATCAGTCAGACATAAGATTGCGAATGTTGGATTTTGGCGTGAAATTTATTCATCTGTATGTTCACACGACGACTCCATAAGTAAACTTGGGCATTTTCGTGTACATGTGACATGTCAAATGTATTTGGTTATCGTTATTTTTTTAGTCCATTTACTGAATTTTTACCGTTCACTTCAATTTATGTCATGCATTCTGTAGGGATGATTGTAAACAATTTTTTTCATCATTTGTAATTTTTCTTAATTCAACTCATTGTACGCAAAGACTATATTGACTAAAAGATTTTGTGTAAGCTGACTTCCATTATTCCTTTTTACTTATCTTACTGACTACCGTTCGCTAAATACACGTGTTCGCATACACACCTGCTTCTGACATTTCTCTTGTCACATTTCGGCTCAAGTTACACATGATATTCCCTGTCAATTACATACGAACATTTTGGATCTATATCTGACATTCTGTGCATTTATTTTTTGAAAATTACCGTAGTTGTAGATATGTGTTCGAACATGAAAGCACTCACTCTCCTGGTGACTCATATTTCTCATATATATGTGTCTGTGTTCTACGAGTTCATCCTTTATGTACGTTTAGGAATATAAGCTGAGTTAATGTATTTTCATGCTTATACTAGCCCATTATAATTCTCTTGCTACTCACTTTTTATCACAATTAAGAAGATTCTGATTCAGTAGTTGTTCTGTATCTGCTAGAATGTTCAGTTAACTTTAATCTGGTCATTTAAACCAACTAGAACTAGAGACAGCAAAAACATGATATTAATCAGTTCTCCAGGAGATAATTGTTAGATTTTCGGATGAATTCTAAATAACTCTTAAATATGATTGATCGTGTTAAACAGTGCCGATTACTACTTGCTATTTAGTGTACATGATGAGATTCTGTGATGAATTTTTATTAAGCATTACATGCGTATCTTATATGCGACGTTGAGCAACCCTGGTCATCATAAGTGGCCTCAAATGTTTGCCGAAATTGAAATATTTCTATGTATGTTATAAAGGAAGACAATTACACATGTCACAATTGGTGCTGACAAGAAATAGGTGTCAATCCTATTTAACACTGTTGTAAGTCTTTTAATAACTACTTCTGGTTGCAGAATTATGATCAACTTCATTATCAGTATTATAATAATAATAGGACAAATTCTAAAATTGTAGATGTCATGATGTGTCTGACCAATCTATATGATTTTACTTGGAAGTCACATCATCGTCTATTCTAGCAAGTCTGATCGTAACAATCACCGAGATAACGTTTAGCTTTTGTAACGAACACATTTAGGTTGAAGACAGATTAATATATTTAATATGAGTTAGGACAAGTTATACGGAATGACCACGCCTTCAAGGCTAAACCATGCCATCTGATTTAGCTTAATTGAACTGAATATTTTCGCGTTCACCATTGTTGGCCTTCTCTTCGTGTCAAATGTTGGATATCTATTTCCTCAGTTATCTCATGTTCAGCTCTGAGGATTGTGTGCTTAGGACCATTACCACTACGATACCCTCCCAACGGAATCAACGTGACATTGGTTCAATACCACATAGATTGGAATTGTTGTGCTCCAGAAGTACCAAAAGAATAATAATAATAATTTATTCTCAAATAACAGATTGTTACATGAGGCACGCCGGTTTACAGGCAAGATCAAATTGTTAAAGAAGTTACAATTTTCACTGTTGAAAATTACTCAGCTGGGTTGATATTTCATAAGATATGAATGTAGATGGATTTTGTAAGAAACATATCAATACCACACTTGGCGCACTTTATGGAGGTAGCGTTGCAACATACAACTGATGGTCGAGAATAGATACATACGAAGTCGAGGGCTTTTAGACGTTTCGAACTTATATCCCTCCGGAATATCTGAGGCTTTAATAACGGTGTAGGACCAAGTCACCCGTGCCATATCTGTTTTCGGTGGAGTATCTGCAGGAGGCTGAAAAAGGTGTAAGAAAAAGGAAGGACGAAAAGCAGAGCACACAATATTCATGGAGGAATAGTTAATGTATAACCATTTAGTCTATTTGTCTGTTACTGAAGTATTTATTAGGTAAGAACATACTAATGTGTTAAAGAAAAATAAGTGTGGGCAAGGTATGAGTGGGTAAGGAACTGTATAAATGAAGGTAGTTCAGAAGAAAGTATGGAATTGTGTAATTGTAAAATAAAGTGCCGAAAACAGTATTCCGATACAAATGGCTGTCTCCCTTTTTTTCGAAGCTGTTTGAACTCTCTTTTTTGTTTTTAGATTTTATAGGGTATATAGTGGGCTTCGTTGTTAGCCAATTGTCTAGTTTGCTTGTAGTAGGATTACTCGGTAGGAAGTGGAACCAATTTAGCTTTTTTTTAAAATGATCTAAAGTGGTATTTTTCATGAATAATTTCGCATCAATACCGTTGGTTGGTGACATTCCACTAGACATAAGGAGCCGTAATTAATATGTTCTGCCCTACAAACACGGGTGGATTGAAGTTATCTTCCCACCATCATGTTTGCTGGGCAGTAACGCCACCCTCCCTCCTTTTATGATGTTAGGCTCTCTTACGTTTGTGGTCAGTATGAATATTGCTTTAATCAAGGACCATAGTTGGAATACACTGTCTCTACAAGTTCCATGTTAGAAGCGAATCAGATGGTCGTAGCATTTGTATTATGGGTTAGATATTCATTTAATATATCGTACTACTATGAAGATAACTAATGGTAAAGGTTATAAGAGACAAGTCAGATTATATGTGGTTATGAGATGGTAAGGACTAATAACAAACCAGAGGATATGAAAGAGAATATTGTAAAATTTTCAGGGTAAGAAAAATAGAACATTGAACAACTCACAAGAATTTAGGACATTTGAGCTTCTTTTGATCGGCCCTAGTTGGTCAGCATCCATAAGATTAGTAAGTTATCTGTCTACTTGTAATAAGAAAAATAAAAGGGCATGACACTTAGGAAGAATAATTTGAATTTATCCATTAGAGAGATTCGGAAACCGAAAATGAGGGTTAGGAGCGGAAGGCCATGGTTAATAATCAATAAATAGTGGGGGAGGATAAAGCATGTTTTCTTTAGTTTTGCTATATCCAAACTAACGACAATGGAGTTCGTTATATTCTTGTTCCGTCTAGATATTGGGCGGTCCATAATAAAGTGCCTCATTGGTAGGTGGGAGTTCAAGGAATAGTTGAAGTTCTCTAGAGTTTAGTAACAGGGTTATTAGCCTTTTAA